GCAGCAAGTCTTAAGCCCTTTAAAATACAGGTGAAAAGATATTGTGCTAGGGCTGGAGGGGTGGCTTAGCAAGTAAGAGTATATAATGCTCTTCCAAGGGACCAGGGTTCAAGTCCAGCACCCACAACTACAGCTCACCACCTGTAATTCCAGTTCCCAGAAAAAACCAAAGGCTCTGCTCTACTCAGGCACTTGCACACACATGTCATACCCACACACAGATACATAATTAAAAACACAAATGTACATTTAAGAACTAATTTTATTATTATTGTATTTTATGATGGGAAGGAGAGGTACATGCCCCAGCGTGTCTGTGAGGATCAGAGGACAATTATGTACAGACAGGCCTGGTGACAAGCCTCCACTGACCCTTTTACAGGTTCTGAGCTAATGCTGGACTGAAGGTCACGCAGGAAGGGAGTGTCTCACTGTCAGCTGGTGACAGATAACAACACCCCTGGCAAAAATAGATTTTCTAAAGTCCTATTTGCTGTAGGTTCTGGGAGATAAATGTAAACATTGTGACATATTCAGGGAACTGGTTTGGAAAATATCTTTGTATTGGAGTGGATACAATAAGGCCTTGAATAAGACCTCATGGAACTCACTTCAGGCGAGAAGTTAAAAGTCATTCACAGCTTGCTTTGGGCCATGCCCAATTTTATCTTGAGGTTTTAAATATACAATATCAAAGGTCACTTTTGAGGCCAAACTTAATGATTTGCATAATTTGCATGCTAATTATGTCTAAATATAACTGCAAATATAAAGTACAAGTTACTAAACAGCCATCTCCAGCAGTAGCTATGTTATAGGATACTTGACTTGTGTGTCTCTTAGCAACCATGGACTGTTTCAGATTTAGAGAGTGGTTGAAGGCAATCTTAGAAACACGCTACTAAAGAGCCAGTGATTCGCCCGATGAAACAATCCAAGGTTGGCAATCAGTCTGCTTCTAAAAGCGGGGGCAAGGGCAGCAGCAGTTGGAAGAAAACATTTCCCAAGACCCCTTAAGCAGATGAAAATGATCTTTATTGAGAGCAAATGTCGTTCCACAGCTGAGGCAGGATGGGAGCTTATATAAATCTGAAAGCAACTCTGCCATACACACGGAATACTACGCAGTAGCCATCTTTGACAAAGATGTAGATGAGTACAGTTAAAAAAAATGATAAAGGTTCTGTAAATCTTTTCCATAAAATCACCATGTTGCTCAAGTAGGGCAGTCAAACATTTCCTGGATGAGTAACAAGGCCTTTGATGAAAACTTTCAAAACCCTGCAACAAAACTCAACGACACAGGTTGTTCTGTCTGGAAATCCACTCATAATCCAGACCTCCAGCTTCTCTTTCTAAGTCCAAGGAGCCAGGACATGTGCCTGGCTCATTGTCTGGTCCAGACAACACAGGCTAGAGGGAGTGGACTGCAGAGGGGTCAGTGCACTCTGCTATCATGCCCACACTGCCTCTCTGTAAACATCTAAGCAGGCTAACCCAACTCTTCCATTCCTGATCCTAACACACATTCAGATACAACACTGGTTACAAAAAAAATATATATATATCAGTTGGCAATGTTGAAATGACGAAGAATTTAGAGACATAAGAAAACACACATGACATCTGAAAGAAGATAGGCTAAGAGGAACCACCTAAGCCATAGGGTACCCAAGAATTTTATAGTAAAAGTCAGGTGTCAAATAATTATAACATGCTAGGCAAATGCAGGCTAATAATGGATAACTTCACACCTGAAGCCACTAAAGAAAACACAATGTAAAAGGGCTCTCAAAACAAAGTTGATCCTAAATTAAAATACTAGTAGCATATAAGCAGTGTTTACTACCTTCTTGGGAGCTGTCCTGAGCAGCTGTACAACATTTGCTCAGTCATCCTGACAACATTATACAACATACTGTGGCTCTTTGATATCTCCTTTCCAGATGAGGAAACGGATGGACAGAGCAGTTGTATAACTTGTCTAAGGTCATACAATGAAAACTGGCAAAGCACACTTGGTGACGTGTGCATGTATTCCCAGGACTCAGGAGGCAAAGGCAGGAAGGTGGTCACACATTTAAGGCCAGCATGGTCTACATAGCAAATTCCAGGCCAGCCAGGGTGACACAGTGAGACTCTATTCTAAAACAAATAACAAGTAAGACTGAACTCAAATCAGCCTCCACACTTGACAACCAATCCACTCTGTTTCTTGATAAAAAGCCCTTGAGACACCACAGAAAGCAAGCTCGGATTTTAAAGAGGCATACCTACACGCTGAAAGAAAAAAAAAAATGAATACTCATCATAAAAGGGCAGAATCCTACAAAAATATAGTCTCAGGAAGGCTGATACACAAGTAAGCAGAGGTTTATGAAAAACGCAAAGCAAAGTAAGAATGCACTTGCAGCAGAAACCTCTTTCTGACGGTTGTTATGGCATATACAATTCTTCTAAATGCAAAACCAGCTCGGTAAGTCACAGAGTGGGAAGACAGTCACACCCACCCCACAATTACCAACAATCTGGTCTATTTCCTTCCAAAACGGTTAGTGCATAACGCTAGAGTTAACAGTGCCCCCCCACTCATATTTTGGAAACTTGCTCCCCAATACCACAGGAGTAGAACCATTTGGGAGGAGCTGAGATAGCAACAGTACCCATGAGTGGAGTCACACAATGACACACATGTTGTCTGGGGAGGGCCCAGCTCTCACCCTTTACCTTCCACCCTTGCCACGTGAGAACACAGACAGATGCTTGCCAGATGTCAGCACATGGATTTTTGAACTGCCCAATCTCCAGACTTGTGAAAAGCCAATTTCTGCTCTTTAAAAATTATCCAGTCTCAGATAAGGCAGTTTCTGTCTCAACCACATATCTGCTCTCAATTTTACACCATGATCCAAAAATAGTAAATAGAAAATTCCAGAAATAATTCCTAAGTTTTAAATAGCCATTTTGAGGGATTATCATAAGAAAGCTTCAGCGTCCCACTGCCTCTGTCCCCAAACGTGAATCACTCTTTATCCGTGGAGGGTCACTCAGTGGCCATCATCACTCTATCGCAGGGCTTGCATACAGGGGTCAATGCTGTCTGTGGCTTCAAGCATTCACTGGGGAGCTTGAAGTACAACACGTACATAAATGAGAGAGGTCCTGCAGAGGCACACCAATGCACTAAGACAAAAACCAGACATGCCTTTCCCCTAAAATAACAGACAAGACTTACAAAGTATGGGATTCTATAACATGCATGCACCATTTCAAAACATATCCTGTGTGCCACTGCTCACATTCTTTTTACTAACTAATGAATATTCTGCTATTTCAACCAACTCCTGATGAAGACCTACTAAGTTTTTTTTCTAATGGTGTAATCATCAACAATGGAGCATTCAGTATCTCTGTAGACACATCTGGTTGTGTCTGATGGAACTGCTGGGTCAACACTTGTCAGAATACATAGGCTGGTAAGTATTATGTAGCCTAGCAGGGCCCAAGGAAGGAACAAACCACACAGAAGGACAGCTCAGAAACAGGTCTAGAGGGGAAAGCATCAGGAAGCCAGCTGTGCCGTCAGCAGACTGGAGAAAAAGCAAGGAGACGCCATGGAGCCAACAGAGGGGAAAGACAAACTCCTAGTTGGAACCTTGCCGGTAGGCCACAGACTTCATGATTAAATATAAAATAATGCAAATGAGTTAATTCTAGATGTAAGAGATTGCTAGCTTGCTATCAATATGCTTAAGTGATTAGCCAAGCAGTGATTTAATTAATACAGTTTCTGTGTGGTTACTTCGAGTCTGGGCAGCTGGGAACAAACAAGCGGCCTCCTACACTGGTGGGAGACAGGTATTTTCTTCCCTGTCAAAAGAGAGGCAGTCCATACACCACACTTCTCCAGTGTCATCCACTGGAGAACACAACAGGAGCAAGGAGGTGTTTCCCAAAAATTCAGTCTCAGCAAAGCCCCCCAAACCCCAGGCAGAAAGGAAGATATGGTCAACAGTTTCAAGATGTGAAATAAGTAATCAGAAAAGTAGGTTCCCTAAGATGCCCCAGATGAGACAGGCTGGAATTAATCCCTGCAGGAAAATTTTAAAGAGTTAAATTGAGCTATTTCCCAGTTATAGTCATAAATAGTTATAAATATTGTAATATTTCTATTACCTGTGCTCTGCACCCCAGCTCACTTACTCACTTTCAATAGATATAGTCTAAAGTGTTTGTTTTTAAAAACCTTTTCTAGACAGTAAGTTTTAAAGCAACATAAAGATTCATACACTGGGCCTGCAAGATGACTTAGCAGTAAAGGTACTGATTGCCCAGACTGATGAACTGAGTTTTTAATTTACAAAACCCACAGACTAAGGGAGATATGACTCCAGAGGGGTTGTCCTTTGACCCCTCTACTAGAGCTGTGACACACACATACCCCTATGAAGACACGAGTCCACAAAATAAATAATGCTTTTGTTTCTTTGGGTTTTGTTTTTTGTTTTTGTTTGTTTGTTTGTTTTTCAAGACAGGGTTTCTCTAAGCAGCTCTGGCCGTCCTGAACTCACCCTGTAGACCAGGCTGGCCTTGAATTCAGAGAGATCCACCAGTCTCGGCCTCCCAAATAGTGGGATTAAAGGAATGCACCACAACCACAACCACCGCACCACAACCACCGCCATAAATATAAATTTTAGAAATTGTACAAACCAGTCATATAAATAAAATTCTTCTATAATTAAACTTTTAAAAAAGCAACTTAGAAAGACTCAGGAATGGGTATTCCTGGTATTTAGTATGGAGGTAAATTCCACCACAAATAATTTTTAAAAGGCATTGTTATTTTTAGTGGGCAAGAGCAGAAACTACCTCATATAATTAAGAGGCAAAATAACAACCACCAGCAAGATTGTTGTTGTTTGTAACAGTATCTGAGAAAATGAAGTAAAGTGTTGGTAAATAAATTACATGCATACAACTACAAAAAAAATGCTTACCTGTAATACAAATTTCTGATCTATGTATTTTTTGGCAATGCTGGGTTGAAATTCTTGGCTTTCCAAAAATCGTATGAAAAATTCATATACAAGCTGTAACAAAAATATCATAGTTAACTTCAAATTAGAATTCATTAACAACATTAAAATCTACAATAAGCACATTACACTGAAGCTAACAGGGCTAAGGGAATTAAGTTTAACTATCAATCCACGAGTCGTGCCGGCCTGGCCTGTGATGCACAGTTAGTATTGTATAGGGTTTTGCTTTTTGTGTTTTTTTTTGTTTTGGTTTGGTTTGGGTTTTTGCTTTTTAAGAAAGGACTTCTCTGTGTATCCTTGGTTGTCCTGGAACACACTGAGTAGACCAGGCTGGCCTTTAACTCACAGAGATCTTTCTGCCTGCTTCTGCCTCCTGAGTGCTGGGATTAAAAAAGTGCTGGGATTAAAGGCATGTGCCGCCTCGCCTAGTTTAATGCTATAATTTTTAACTTTTAAAATTAAAAGCAAAAAATACAGCCAAAGCAAATAAAAATCCATATTCTCACCTTTTATAGAGAATCCCACTGTTCACAGTTTGTCATCTCTCACCCCATTCCCAACCTGCAGGTAGGCAGGAAGGTAGTTCAGTCCTTCCACTGTGTGGTCCCGGGACAGAACGCAAGTCAACTTGATGGCAAGAACAACTTGACCTGCTGAGCTATTTTGTCAGTCCACTGCTAGCATATGTACACTCCCTCTCTAAAACATGCATCTGTACTATATATAAATCTTTGCATATTTTGATGAAGCTACCTTTATCATTTAAATGGTACATTATGAATAATCTGTGCCAGTATTCAAACCATCATTTTCAGTAAGTAAGTAAGTCATTTCTAATAATTTTAATTCCACTGTTCATAATTAAGCAATCACCTATGCTCAGGTATTTAAGTAGTTTCTATAGGGTTTCTCTAGCAAAGCACTCCACAATTTGAATTATACAAAACATACACTTCTTCAATTACTTCATGAGTTAATATTTTTAAAAGTGGACTTGTCAGATCAAAAGACACCCAAACATTCCAGATTGTTCATAACCACGGCCAGATTTTCCTTAAGGAAGTATACATCATCTTACACTCTTGTAAGCAATGTCTGTGTCACTCGGCATCTTCATTTGGAAACAACATAGTCACATGTGCAGGGGCAACCTCGAATAACTGTTCTGATGAACAGTGCAGGATCAATATTTATTTTCTTTGTATAATAAACTATGTTAAAAAAAAAAAACTATGTTAAAGGCCACACCAGACTAGACAGCAGCATTACTGACCCAAAACTCTTAAGAGAGGAACCCTGGGCTAGAAGCCCAGCTATACCCCTTACTAACTGTATAACCTAGACGTGTTCATTCTTTTAAATTCTGTTTCTTTCATTTTTCAATGGAGATGATAGTAAGAGTAAATGTAATGCTACATGCAAAACCTTCTGTACATGACAAACATAATCTCCATCATTTGCCAAAAACAACATTTGTGATTTTTCCTTTCACACTTAAATTGACAGACACACCCAAAAGCTTTATGAGATAAATATGTGTGTATGTGTGAACATTTAATTTAGATGTGTTTCACGTGTGTTTATAAGGAAACACTGAGAAATTGTTAAATGTTTCATTTCATTCTGCAATAAAACTCATTATATGTTAACATAAGAATATATATAATTTTAAAATTGTATTATAAAGAAAAGAACTTAATTAGGTGTTCTGACACACGCCTGAATTCCCAGAACTGTGAGAACGGGGCGGGAGGGCCGTGAGGTTAAGGCCAGGCTGTCTACTTAGGAAAACATTGACACGAGAAAAGAAGATAAATAAGGCATTGCGTTGGTTGTTTTCAGTAAAACTCTTGAATATCCGGCTATATCAGAAGATAGATTTACATATTCTTGACTATTCAGTCTGTAATTTATTGAAATATACTTTTAAAAAACTTAAGGTCAGGAAAAGAGTATTTTAGTGTCTTCTCTCAGAATCAGAGATATTCTTCTTTAATGAAAACATCAAAACTCAACAACTGTCTGTCAATTCTGAAACTTTAGTTGTAGTTTAGCTTACAAGTTAAGAGTACATATCATTCAAGCAAGAACTGACGCATATCAGGCTGTGTGGGCGTATGGGCCACCTATATCTCCAGTCTCAGAAGGCAAAGATGAGGGCATCATCAGAGCAACCTGGCTAGTGTACCACTGAGCTCTAGGTGTGACTGCCTCAAAGGATAAGGTTGAAGAACAATTAATTACTGATATTACCCTCCAAAAGCCATGTGCACTGCACTACACACACACACACACATACACACACACACACACCATAAACGGAAAAAGTAGGAAAGTGGGTTGCAATGCAGAGTCTGAAATGATACCAATAAACTATCCAACAGTCTGGATGAACCTTGATCATGTGTGTTCCTAACACAGGTCATTTTCCAGGGAGGAATTATTGGCTCACCGGCTCATGTAGACTTTTCAAATATTGATGAATCCTATTTCACAGTATCTTTTTTTTTTAAGATCACATTTTTATTCCCTCCCAAGAACAGTCTTTAAATTTTGGCATGCTGAAAAGCTCACTATGGAGGGCTGGAGAGATGGCTCAGAGGTTAAGAGCGCAGGCTGCTCTTCCAGAGGTCCTGAATTCAATTCCCAGCAACTACATGGTGGCTCACAACCACCTGTAATGAGATCTGGAGCCCTCCATGCCAGAACACTGTATGTTTAATAAATAAATCTTTTTAAAAAAGAAAAGAAAATCTCACTATGTCACGTAGATCTACTATAAGACAGATAGATACTATATAATGGATGCTGGCTTTCCAAAGTTCAAACGCTAAGTTATGTTTCTAGTATTCAGATTCTATCAGCAACAAGAATTATTATCAATTGGGCTTCCTTGTTTTAGGGAAATATCTGCCAAATGCCTAACCTTAATAACCAGCTTGTTCTGTAAAGCACAAATGATGCTTCATGGAAAAGCAGCTAGTACAGCCTGCTATTCACACGGTCGCACAGCATCCTTCCACAGGGTCACCACTGTACCGCAGCATGCAGTAATATCATCTATGCATACTTCTCATCACCATGCAGATAATTTGTAAATGGATGCTCAAGGGCCACAATGTAAAAGAATGAGTCACTTTTGATGTTCTTCAAACACTCTTAAGTGAAATGGCCTTCTTTAAGTTTCAAGAGCAGACAGGAAATAAAACAGTACTTTACAAGTCTGACACTTGTCTTCATTTATGCTAAGTCAGCAGCATTTTAAACATCACCGTTGGCCCACCACGGTGGCATACACCTTTAATCCTGGTACTCAAGAGAAAAGCAGACAGTTCTGACAATTCTGGGCCAGCCTGGTCTACATAGTGAATTCTAGGATAGACAGAGCTACATAGTGCAACCCTAACCACCTCTGTTTTTATAATGAATAGTTCAAACAGTGCATTAACCAATAAATGCAGGGAAAGGACAATATCATAGAACTGTGGTCAAAGAATGAACAGTGACCTGTGAATGGCTTCGTGAGGAAAGGTGCTTGGTGCCAAAACTAATGAGCTGAGTTCAAGTCTCAGAACTCAGACGGTAAAAAGAGAGAGAAGCAGCTCCCACAAGGTGTCCTCTGACACCCCCCAAACACATACTCATGTGTGTGTGTCCATGCGCTTACACACAAATAATAAATGTAACTAAAAGCTTTTATTAAAGAGTGATGTGAGTGTTGTATAAATTCGAGAAGGGGGGGAGTCTTCCCCAGTGATGTGGTGGTGTTGTAGTCAAAATATGGTTTGAATTTTTACTCTTCACACAACTGTTCTTTTCAAAACGCTCATTTTTCAACTCTTGATTTTACATAGAGAATTCCAGACTCACTCAAACCACCCTTGCCCTGAATTCTTCTCCCAGGCCGCTCTTGGCCATCAGCCTTTCCACTAGGGTCAAGTGACTTGGTGGAAACATTTCAGACACATTTAGAAATAAGCAAAAACTGAACCTCACAATCAAAACTCTCTCTAGTGTTTCTAAAGGGAAAAACTAGGGATACGAGGATAAATTATTATTTGAGGTCTCGTAAGGAAGGTCCATGAGCAAAAAGTTAACATGCTTGGCATCAAGTCTCACAAGAAGGCACTGAAAACCATCCTGAATTATAAACAGGTCCTACAAAATTGTATTCTACTGGGAAGGCAGATCTAATCTCAGAAAACACACACAAAACAATAACCATGGCAACTATGTCATACTAGCTTAAAATACACCAATAGAAATACTAGAAAAAAATTAAATAACATGCACACAAGTAAACCTCTGACATATTTGATCAAATATCACGTGAACTTGATATTCTGCTATTTCGGTAATTCTGTGCCTGTCCACAAATTTAAAACAGTTCTGTAGAACAGTCAGTCAGTTAGCTGGACTGTAAGAATAGCCAACTACAAACTAACCAATCATGTCATTTTCTTACTATCATCCTCCAACAGTCACACTTCGCTCTCTTCTAAAATGTGGTCCAGAAGAGGAAGCATGTGGTGAATTATGGAATTCACAAAAGTGAAAAGATTTAACACCATACTATGCTTTGGTCAGAAAAGAATCAGATGTTATAATAATTTAAAGGTTAACTATTAGACAGGTGTAGTGGTACACAACTCCAGTACTCAGGACATAGAGGCAGGAGGATGGCCAGTCAGAGGCAGTCTGGGCTACACAGTGAGCGAGGCCAGTCAAAACTTCCTAGGAAGACCACATTAAAAACAAAACAAAACAAAAACAAAATCAAGGGCAAAGGATGTTGACCAAGCAGAACTACCCAGCATGTAACAAAACTCGGGCCTCATGCCTAGCACTTCAAGGATAACAAGTCAGACAAAACATGGAATTTACTGAGATATGATCATGACATCAATAATCTATTTGAAGAGAAAGAGATTTGTTGTTTTAATTTTAAATCAATAAATTCTATTTATTTATTGTGGGGTGCATGTGTGTGTGCAAGCACATGCACACACGTGCGAGGCGCACATGTGCTCTGTATATGGAAGTCAAAAGACGCATTTCTCTCCTTCCATTGTTAAGTTCCAGGACCAAACTTGGATTCCCAGATAGGTGCAGCATGCACTTTCTCACTCAGCCATCTTTCCAGGCTGAAGAGATTCCCTGAATGATCTCGTCAGTTACAGCCACCCACTTGAGAAATGGAAAGTTAGCTAATGTGTGCAAGTAAGGCTAACCAAAGAAAACCTACGACTCTTGATACAAGCCTGGAGCCTGCACTAGGATGTCACAAAGTGGCAGAGAATGAGGCCAAGTAGGCACTCTGACCTCACCTGTGTATCTTTTGACAAGCTCATATAGCCTTGTGTAGCCCTGAACATGTTATATAGCTGAGGATGACCTTGAGTCTGACGGCCCAGCCTCTCTCTCCCATGAGCTGGAATTGGAGGCATGTGCCACCATATCTGCTGCTTCTTTCACTGGATCCAACCTTAATCAGACATGCTTCCCTCAGAGTGAAGAAAGAACCGGCAGGATTATAGGCTTGAACAATATGTCAGCACACATAAAGCTAGTCCATTTTGTAAACATTTATGACTTTGTATCTAAAAGGGCAAAAGTCTCATTGTCAGTCCTCGGCATTGCTACAGCTTCATATGAACCAGTAAGTCAGTGAAGCTAGGATGTGGTATACACAGTAAAGCAGCAGCTTAAGAAATCAATTTGGCCTTCTATTTTATATCATTAAGTACACTTTTATTTGCAAGCTCTTTATAATGAAGTTTTAATATTTTTTTAAGTTCAGGAAGATAAACTGAAATAAGTCCATGTTGGATTTTAGGGGAAACTGATGTCTAAGAGTGTGCTGAAAATGCTTTGCAAAGGGCAAGGGAATCCTAGTCCTTCGCTGGTCTGCAGGCCACAAGATGTAGTACATTCTTAGAGAGACTAGCTTTTTAATTATTTTTCTCTCAGACTAAAAGTCAATCCAATTGGCATCAAGCATCAAGAATTGCCGGAAGCAAAGACCTGTATTTTGAGATCTGCACTTTGTTTACAGTCATCTTAAGCTTACAAGTTAAGAAAAATATTTACCTCTATCCCCTCTGCAGGGTCTAGGAAACCAACCTGGCATCTTATCTCCTAGCAGAGACCTGTAGGCACCAGGCTCCGGAATCTATTAGCATTTTCCTTTGTTAGTCAACAATCACAGACCCTCAGTATTTTCTTATCAGCTAGGGATGTCTTCGGACCTGAATTCCAGCAGACCTGAGTTTCCTGACACCCTTTACTCCCCCCCGCCCCCCCCCACCCTTCCCTTCCCCACTTTGCCCATTTGCTATATAACAGCTTCTGAGGAAATAATAAATGGGACGGCTTGATCAGAAATCCTGTCTTGCCGTCATTTCTCGTGTCTCTTGTCCTTTCATTCCTCTCCCCTAGGTTTATCAGGGACCACTGTTCGTATCCCGCTGGCCAGGATAGATGGCGCCCAACAAGCATCAAGAAATAAGATGTGACAACCAGTTGTGGTGGCACTCGCTTTAATGAAAGCACTGAGGAGGCAGAGGCAGGAGACTCTCGAGGGCAGCCTGGTCTACAGAGTAAGTTCCAGGAGAGCCATGACTACAGAGAAACCCCATCTTGGAAAAGAAAATAAGACACAACATTTCCTTCAGTGGTGTAGCCACTGATAAGTTGCCCTTGTCCCACTAAAAAATCCCTGACCTATGATCATGTAAGCAACCCTAATTCAACGCAGCATGTTTATTTTAAAAAAAAAAAATCAATCCACAGTGGCACATGCACATCCCAGCACTCAAGAGGCAGAGACTAGCAGATCTGTGGGCTACAAGACAAAACAAACAAAAAAAAAAAAAAAAAAAAGGGGGGGGGAAGGGAGGGAGGGAGGGAGGGAGGGAGGGAGGGAGGGAGGGAGGGAGGGAAGGAGGGAGACCACAGACCTGTTAAAAAGAAAAGTTTCAGTGACAGAAGGAGGGAATAAGAGGATGAGGAAGTTCATTATGCTCATGCAAGAAGTCATTAAAGAATTCTTTTTAGGGGCTGGAGAGATGGCTCAGTGGTTAAGAGCATTGCCTGCTCTTCCAAAGGTCCTGAGTTCAATTCCCAGCAACCACATGGTGGCTCACAACCATCTGTAAAGAGGTCTGGCGCCCTCTTCTGGCCTTCAGGCATACGGACAGAATATTGTATACATAATAAATAAATATTTAAAAAAAAAGAAAAAAAGAATAAAACATGATAAAAATTCTACCATTCAAAGGGCTCTGTTCTGTTCTTTTTCCAATTTTGTAGATATACCTATGCAAAGCACATTAGGCTTACAGATCTTAGAGCACAGATAATCCACCAGGCAGCTTAAGAAATCAAATAGTGTTTAAACTAACGTAATTTGCCCAACCTTGGCACTTCTAACAGGACCACACAGTATTACAAGCCTGAGGACATGTTGCAAAAAAACACAGCCCTGGAAAGAGCCCTGTAACCAGGAAAAACAGCCCACAGTGTACCCGTAGCAACCTATTGGTACCAAAGGGGACAGGCCAAGTAGCAAATCTATGTCAGTCTCTAGAGTGGGGAGAGCATAGACTGTTAAATCTCTCTGGGCCTTTTCAACTCACCCATTGAAATGTCAGTGAGTAAACAGGCACAAAGACACAGTGGCTTCTCCCAGGGGCGAAGATGGACAAGGCTACATCCTTTGTCTTCCACCCTCCCTTCCTTCCTGTTATTATCAAACTCAGTGGAAAGATGGCTTTAGGGGGTCAACAGAGTCAAGCTTCTGTTTTCTTCTTTTGAGGAATATTGTGCTCAAGAAAGGGCAAAAGGAAACAAGGAGCTGAAAAGTGTCAGCTAAAGTGTAAGTACACAAAGTAGGAGGCTGCCACTAGCCTACAAAAGGCTCTGGTGGTCCTGACCAGCCCTGGAACAGACAATGATCCCTACAAAAGGCTCTGGTGGTTCAAAACAGACCTTCACCACAGCTTCTGTTGTCTCTGACACCACTAGAAAGGAAAGGAAACCCACTCACTGTTATCGCAAAGACAAGGCATACAAGTATCTCCGCATCTACTGCTAAAAATGAGGTAAGTATCCCATGACCTAGTCATATCCAGCTAATACTAATAAGAAAACAGTTCTGTTCTTAACTGAAATCCCAGTGGGCGGGATCACAGAAAGGCTCTAAAAAGGACCTGTGGCTGGACCTGCAACGTCGTCGTGCAAAAGTACTTACTGCACTGAAGCCCACTGTTCCCTTCTTCTAGCATGCTAATTATCAAGCACAAGCAACACAAAAGCCCCAGCACTCAGGAGGCAGAGGCAGGCAGAATTCTGAGTTTGAGGCCAGCCTGATCTACAGAGCTAGTTCCAGAACAGTCAGGGATTCACAGGGAAACCCTGTCTCGAAATACTAAAAAAGGAAGAAACAGAAATAGCATTTTTCAGTTTGCTACTATGTCTTCTAATTTGGTCTCTTCCTTCAAGGAATCCCCATGCTAATAGGGGAAGTTAATGGAGTTTTCTTTCATAAGATAAATGAAAAGCCAAAGTACCTGTAAGTGGGGCCACGATGCCTCGAGGGTAGGTTCATCTTCTTCTGGGTCGAATTCATTGCTGTCACTAGGAGGGAGAGTTCTGAATATATTGCAAGATACCTAAAAATAAACAAGCAGCAATCAGCTCCAAGTACCTTTGGCAGGTGCTCTGGGGACACAGTGCACATGGGAATGCCACAGAACTGAAAATAGGAACCTCTTTCCATGGGCTCCAGGCTGGAACCACCTCAAGGCAAAGCTGGGAGGCCCCAAGGTGACACCCTGCATTCTCACTGCCGTCCCATCCAGATGAGTGGACAAGTCCCACCAGCGCTGATGATTACTTACCAGTCAAGTGTGTCTCTAATTAGTCCACTACACTAACACACAAATAAGTACTAATGGCTGGTGAGCACTTTCTCTTCCTCACGCACAATCTACAATTCACAATTTATACGTTTATTGTTACCTCATAATGAAATTTCTGGCATTTGCACAGACCCCCGCCCCCAATAAAAGGAATCAGGAAAGAAATTTAAGAACCTTCCTAATAGACTTTTAAATCACACCTAATCTTGCCTCAAAAGGTTTACAAATTACTATGGAAGTCCAGGATACACTGTATCTGTGTTTAAATCTGGATGAACATAGCATTTCTTTGCCACAGGCAACATCCAAATTAAATACTTACTGTAAGTAGAAAAGTGTTGAACTGAGGATGAAGACAACTCAATGTCTCTAGTACTACGTAGGATTGTTGTTGTTGTTGTTATTATTATTATTATTACATTGTTGTTATTGCTACTACTACAGGATTCCCATTACAAAAGGCTTGTTTCTGAAATGCTTTATTAATGCTATTGTGATTCCCATGCTCTCTCCTCCTCCATACTCACCTAACATTGTAATCAAACACCTCTGACCTGAAGACTAAAACAAGGAGCAATGGAGACATGCAGAGAATGGGAGCAAGGAAAGGTGGCAGCACTCCAGAAGCCTTGCAGGACTTTCTGCACAGGGGGCAAGTGCCGACCTGTAAGGAGCTGCTTCTGTTTCTGTTGTTTCGTTTCCCTAGATGACCCTAGCTGGCCTTAAACTCAAGAGATCTACCAGCCTGTCTCTGCCTCCAGAGTACTTAAATTACCCTGGATTAAAGTGCTACACCTGATTGATGAGGAAGAAAGGCTTTTAGAAGACCCATAAGGTGAGTGTATTTATTCATTCAAACACCTATTAGTAACTATAATACACACACACACACACACACACACACACACACACACACTGTCCTAAGCACTGGGGAAATAATAATGAACAAAGAATAGAAAAAGTTAAAAGTCCACGCACTCCTTCAGGAAAATTTTATTTCAGTTCAGCACTCAGCTCAGGTGGGTAAGCTATGAAAAAGTGACTGAATTTTATTGGAAGTGCAAGCAGGAAGTCATTAATGGATCGTATACAGAAGTCACATGACTTGGTTTTTTTTTTAAAAAAAAAAAATCCGTCTCATAGCTTCAGAGAGTTTAAGTAGTATAAAAATGACAGAGATAGCTCAAACTAGAGGGTGCCAGAAAAAAGAGGCTACGTGTGTGGACTGACAGAAATGATAGCTCACTGAGTAAGAGAACTACTGCTCTGCCACAGGATCCAGGTTCGATTCCCAGCACTCAAGTGCTGGTTCACACTCATCACTAGCTCCAGTTCCAGGGGATCTGACATCCTCTTCTGAACTTCACAGGCACCAGGCATGTACACAAAAATACATACAGGCAACACCCCCATACATAAAATGAAATAAATCTTTAAACAAAGGATGAGTTTCCCCAAAATGAAGAGTGGGCAAAACAAGAAGTGTTTTTCTTTTGTTTGCTTGTTCTGGTAGAAATACTTGGGGGGTGTTAAAGGCATTAAGACAGACAAACCTACACTTGTGAAGCAGACAGTTCGGGACTGGAGACACGTGAGAACTTGTGTATATGGATACTTAATGCCATGGCATTACTGGATCACTTTGGGAAGGGCTGTGCACCCCAACATTTAAAAACAAAGAAGACCAAAAAGTGCACAATGAAAGCAGGGGTGAACGAGAGGTTGTGGGGAGGTCTCTGAGCTAAAAGAGGAAACTAAAGAGTAAGAAGCAGGCAAAAGCAGTAGGGTGGAAAAGATGCGCCCAAAGCAGACATGGCAGCCAAGAAGCATATGCTATGATGGCTCCAATAACCCCTGGGAGCAGAAGAACTTGGTTCCTAGTGGCAGTCAGTGCCCAGCAGAGGAGCAATGGAAGCTAGGATGTCAAGGTCTCCCCAGGGCTCTAGAAGGTAGATTGACAATATTTTGTACACAAATGACAGGGGGAAATATCAGAGTACATATTTTCGTTATATAAAACTTTCTCTTCTAGCAATTATGAGATCGTGTACCTAAGAAGAAACTAATGGCTTTTCAAACACCTAGCCACCGAGATGTCTCTTCAGTCGGCCAGCCATATTCCAATTCACAAAATCCTTTACCCAATTTGAAATCACATTTTTATCTGAATAAGTCATTCATACTTAAAATGACTTTGGGGAGATGTTTGATAACTTTACCATTCATCAGTTGGCTCTCATCAGTGTTGGCTGTCTTCAGGCTATTCTACAGAATACTTGAGTAGACCCTAGAACTTGTGTGTGGCCTGGGACATGCCAGCTCTCTTAAGCGCCGACCACCTGCTGCAGCAGCCATCTGTTTTCTGATCTGTCTCAGCCCAGCCATAAGAACTAAAAACCTTGCAATACACTTGTGTTCCTAATACCTCCAAGGTATTCAATAAGCATTTGCGCAAAAAAAAAAAAAAAGTTTAGATGTATTTATAAAGCTACAGATCACAGTTTTACTTTAACCATATTTCAATTTAAGTTTTCCAGGTGCAGGTTCTTCAGAAGAACACATATGACAGAACGGTGTTCAAAGCCTCTGGTTTGGTCAGTTTCATCTACCACTACATCAAAAGAACAGCAAAGTGAAGCCGTTTCTTCAGTGTTTCACTAGTTTACTGCTACACTTTCTCCACAGCCTGAGTAAAGAGCTCTTCAGCAAAGAGAAAGAGGGGCAGTGAATGGCCAAGGCTTTGGCCCAGCCTGGAACACAGTATATATAAACAAGATGGCATGGCCTCTAAGAAACTAATCTAAGACTAGGCTGAAAGGGCTACATAAAGCTTTCATTTGCAACTTTCTCTAAAGTATAAAATTGGGGATTAACTTTCTGTTCAGTTAATTAGAAACATCCATCAATTCCAGGAATAGTGTGAAACTTAAATAGTGTGGCTATAGGGAAACACTAAAATAGAAAGGAAAAGGTTGCTAATAAGAATTTAGTTGCATTATCACTACAAAGCACATTGCACAGCACCTCATGTTAACAGACTGTATACCACTGTAGTGCCAAGAATGGAAACATCCAGAGTTGAAAAACAAAGCCTCAGGCCCTATGTGAATGACTTAAGGACTGGATGAGTTTAAGTGTAAAGCTGAGTTCCACACCACTGACCATGAAGTCAAGTTATTACTGGATGGGGAGTAGAGGTCACCTTTATATCACTTGATTAACTGGACCAGTTTTTATGGGGGGCCAAATATGGAAAAAAGGCCCCTTATAGCTCCCACCCCAACAAGGTGAAAGTCCCCTACTCTAGATTGTAAACTTGCTTCCCTTAAAGCATTCATAACCACTGGCAGTGACTCCTGACAGTCCAGCTGACAGTCACCACATATGCACACAAGTAGATCCTAACCACAAGCAACCACCCAGATGACGCTCAACCACACAAAAGATCTATAATGCACTTGTGTGGCTAGATGAAAATATTCTTATTTCCAAAGTTAAAAACCAAACCCTCTCTATTTAAATATATGAGATACTTGAGGCACTAGTAAGCTTTCTATTTTATTAATTCAGAAATAAATTATCAAAAATGAACAAGAAAACTTTCAAAGTATATTAGGGAACTGGAAAGCTGCTAAGTGGTTTAGAGTACTTGTTGCTCTTTGCAGAGGGCCTGGGTTTGACTCCCAGCATCCACACGGTGGCTCACAACCATCCATAACTCCGATTCTGTAGGTTCTGATCTCTTCTGACCTCTTCAAGCTCCAGGAATGCATGTGGTACATATACATAAATGCAGGCAAAACACACATGAAATAAGCAAATCAAAGTATACTAGGTTTTCTCAGCTATTTTATTTTAATTTATACCGGTATTAGTATAAAGCAAAAGTATAAAACACAAATCTCTGAGGAAGTCTAACTCATCTTCATCCCAAAGACATAATAAACATTGAATATTATAATCCAACTAAAGACTTGAAAACCCTGGCCTGACCTCCAAAGAGTAGCCATGAAGACACAAGAGCAAGACTAAGGAATGGAAGGAAGCTGGGTAAAAGCCTGTACAGCCCTCCGAAAGGGAGAAACTAAGGCCAGAGACTGAATTCAGGGCTTGTAAAACCCTCAAGTCAAACCATTAGCAATTCTTATCCAGACTCTTCCCTTTACAGTATGCAGACTGAGTGGACTGAGCATAGAGGTCTTCGAATAGTGTCTAGGGCACATCACAGATAGCCTCGCCGACCGCACTCCCAAGGATGGCTTATTTCTTCCCCTTTCCCCGATGACATTTTTCTCACCTCCCCACCCCATCTGTTCACCACTGAGCTCCTTCTTGGGTTCTTGGCCTACCAGTGCCACGCCAAGCACTCACACACCAGCGTCCCTGCCTGAAGTCCCCACTCCTGGCTCAGATCCTTGGCATTTCCAAGCCTCTCCACTCTAATGTTGCTTCCTTAAGTCCCTTGTTTGCTCTTCTGCTCACATTTTTAGCCCCTCAAGGACTCCTTAGCAGTTTCTCAGTGCTTGGCACCTAACAAATAGAAATAACTAGGCTTGACAAAGAGAAAGAGAAGATTTAGCTAAATCTAAATCTCATATAAACAAGACATTTTAAAGTCAACTCCATGTAATATCTAGGACAGTCTTTTTTTTTTTTTTAATTATCTGAAGCTCTAATTTAACTAGATACTCTGTATTTGTAGTTGCTAAATCTGATAAACCTGAAATTACATTATTGCTAGGAAGAGCCCT